GTTGGCTAGATGGTCACCTTCTAACCTAGGCCACTCATCAGAATAGCCGCCATGGTGTAGTGGCTAGATTGGTCACCTTCTAAGGCACTCTAGGCCACTCTTCAGAATAGTCTTACGAATGTCGCTGTGGTGTAGTGGCTAGTGGTCACCTGCAGGTGCTGACAGGGCCAGATTCCCCCCCCCCCCCCCCAATGCTCGTCATCCCAACCTTACAATGGGCACCAGTTAAATTCCTGGGAAGTAAAGTGCAGCTGGCATGATTTAACAACATAACTCACAGAGTGCTAAAAGGTCGATAAAACATAGGTCTAACCATATATGCCCAAAACGCCATAATGATCAATGGGAAACAAAGAGGGTCACAATCAAAGTGAGATGATAAAACCTAGGACATGCATGTATATATAAATTCTGGCTAGCTGCATCGCTGTGAACTGTTGACCATCCCCTAGCACTCGATGCTGGCTGATGGCTACTAGTCAAACAGTCCTGGGAACGGAACCTCCTTTGTGATGTGCCCAGTCGTAGTACACGGCATCTGCTGACGTCTGCTAGGGGGCGAACACATCCTGATTTTACGATAGGTTTTTGGCTACATAAATCAAAAACAGAATCGTGGCATTAACATTTAACTCTTTCTTTCTCTCTGCGTGTGGGTGCGCGTGCATGTTTATGTACGTGTATGTAAAAGACCCTTTCCCACACCTTCAGGTGTATGGGGAATATTTTATAGACCAATCGGCACTACATAGCTAATGTGGTCAGCCGGCCGCCTTTACTTCCCAGGACTGTACCTGGTAGCCACTCAAGGCTGGGTCGACATGGGAGCTAAGGTCATTTTTGTTTTTTAAAGTCTAGCTCCGTCAGGACTCAAACCTAGGACCTTCTGATCCGCAGACGAGCGTCTAGCCACTACACCATGACGGCTCCCGGTATATGTGTGTACGCACTGGATTCTGTCTCTACTACAAACTCCAAAAACAGTCTGACAATTAAATAATGGAACAAAAATGGCCAAAACAGAAATGTAACAGATAAGCAAAGCATGTCATCCAAGCAGGCATCATTCATCTAGGATCTGGCAAAATTTTAACACCACCTGGTCAGAAGACAAGTAACCCGCCAATTTGTTTAGCTGGTGAAAGTTGCATTGTTATGTATGCAGCATGAAGCCACAGGTAAACATTTACTGTGTTTCAAACTTGAAAGAGTGCTCCTGAGATGGTTGTACTAGGTTCTCATTGTAACAGAGATACCTGGGATTAGACATCTTTGGACCCCCCCCCCCCCCCCCCCCCCCCCCCCCCCCCCCCCCCCCCCCCCCCCCCCCCCCCCCCCCAGTATAAGGCTACGGACCCAGCCACCCTGGTCCTCTCAGGTTATTCAGTAGTTACACATACAGACTATTACTTCTTCATCTTAGTGTTCACTGGCTGTAAACTCCAGTGGAAAGTTCTGGTTGTTCGTCCATTTCTGAACTTTGATCTTGTTCCAGATCTTGAGTTTTGTGTGCTCTTCTGTTCTATAGATCTGGCTTATTTGTATGCAGACTGTTGGTTCCTCAGCAGATGAACTCCCACTTTGAAGAAAACACCCTTAATCAGTCCACTTTAAGTGCCATGCTTGTTAGGGAGCATTGGCTTTACCATCCCCCCCCCACCCACCACCACCACCTGAGTAGGACCCTGGAGCTCTGACAGGGAGAATATTTCTAATGCAGATGTGAATAGAAGTACTAGTGAGGTTACCTTCTCTTCCAGAAACCTTTCATCTTGGGAATAAGTCCACTGAAGCAATCGTCCATCCCACTGAAATAGTTTTCACAAATATCAAAACATGACACTGCTATCCTCTGTGTGTATACATACAATAAGAGTGACACTAGCATCTGCTGGACCAGTAGTCCCACTGTCAGCTATTCAATTTCTGGAGACTATTTCAATGCTAATAAAAAAAAAAAGTTTAAACGACTGATTTCATGTCACCAAGTTTTATGCCATACTGCTCGGTCCCTCTCCACAGAACGGTCAGGTGTCTACTGAGAGTGATGTACAAAGCATGAACTCCGTAGCTCCAACGACAATACCCAGTGATTTCTGTAACTGCCTGTGAACTGGTAATACCCAGTGATCTCTGTAACTGCTTGTAAGCTGGTAATACCCAGTGATCTCTGTAACTGCTTGTGAACTGGTAATACCCAGTGATCTCTGTAACTGCCAGTGAACTGGTAATACCCAGTGATCTCTGTAACTGCCTGTGAACTGGTAATACCCAGTGATCTCTGTAACTGCCAGTGAACTGGTAATACCCAGTGATCTCTGTAACTGCTTGTGAACTAGTAATACCCAGTGATCTCTGTAACTGCCAGTGAACTGGTAATACCCAGTGATCTCTGTAACTGCCAGTGAACTGGTAATACCCAGTGATCTCTGTAACTGCTTGTGAACTGGACGTGTCCGTGAAATAAGCACATGATCTTCAGAGTGAAAAGTTCAATCATCTTATACTGCATACGAGTTCAATATAGACCAAGTAAAACATAAACCTACATTCTACATTCTTTGGTCATGTGATAAGAAGGAGAGAAATGGAGTGCATCGTGAAAGCAGGAAAGTTGGAGGCAGAGGGAGACAGAGAAAAAAGATGTTGGACAGTTTGACATCATGGCATGGAGGATCACCTGTATCAGAGTTGATTAGAAGTACACGAGACAGAAGGTTGTGGACAGACATGACTACCACCACAACATGGCATGGACTTTAAGAAGAATAAAACAACAGGATTTCATCAGATATGAACTATATACTATTTTCAACACCTTAGATGAGACGAAGAGTTGTTAAAGAGTTCACGAAAAGCCCTTCACAGATTCTGGTTGCTTGGATTCTGCAACTAAAGGATGAGATAGTCCAGCTCTGGCTGAAAACCTCTTACAATACACATTCCCAGTTAGTGTTATTATTATCTTCTTCTTCTCTTCCACCTTGTACCTCATCCGGGGTTATTTTTATGAACATGATAAAGTTTTGCAGAAGAGGTCACACCTTAGAGTAGCTGCACACAAGAAACAACTCACCCACACTGCACTACAGGTTACTCCATAATCACTTTGTGGTGCCCCAATATAACTATGTCTACATGGTTGAGCGGGATTTCCAGGATTTGTGCCTGTTTGATTCTCATCCTTGAAATGTTAATCCTAAATCATAATCCAGGATAGGAAAACGTTTTTTAAAAAATTGAAGAATGCAAAATCCTGCATGAAGCTCTAGAGAGAGTTAAGGGCAGAAGCAGTATACACAATCAGATATGCATACAGGCTTGAAAATAATAGGTAAGGAGAGTGAAACAAAATGTCACACCAACAGTCAAACGTGTAGGGTTTTAAAACCATTGTGTAAGAAAAGCAAGGACTGGCCAGAGGCTACTGCAGAATCAGAAATTCAACAACTGACTCACCACACACATGTTGTGATCACCACACACATGTTGTGATCACCACCACACACTGTGATCACCACACACATGCTGTGATCACCACACACATGCTGTAATCACCACACACACATTGTGATCAAAACACACATGTTGTGATCACCACTCACATGTTGTGACTAACAGACTGTCAAAGCATATTAAGAAGGATGGAGACATGCATACTCCATGCAAGGTGACAACAACTGCTTCTGAGGTGCTGGGAGTTAGCATCCTTTGGATGTTTTCTCCAGGACATGCATGTGTTGGGAAAAACAAACAGGCAGAACAGCTGGCTGATTCTGTATCACCTAGTAGTTAACTGATACAAGACAAGCTAGATGTTATCAATGCCCTTTGGAAACGAGAGTACAGTGAGGAGGCACAAACAGATCATCACAGTATGAAGAGAAGGGCACAGAGGCAATGACCAGGGGATCTGGTTAGCACTCCGAGGGAAAGGCAAGATGGATATACAACCAGACTGCTACTGGAACCATTGACAGCTGGCTGCTGAAGATGTGGATGGAGTGCTTATTGAATATCCAGAGTGCTGTAATGTTGATTCTTAGCCTTTGAAGTTATAGGCCCACCGTCTCTAATAAGCATGTCATAAGAGACAACTAATTAGAAACGTTTCTTTCTGAAAGGTACACAAATAAGCCAGATTTGTAAAACAGATGTGTATGCAAAACTCAGGTTACGTAACAGCACCAAAGTCCAGAAGTGGGTGAACAACCAGAACTTTCTGCTGAGGGTTTAGACCCGTTGAAAACGAAGAAGATGAAGAATTTACATGGATATCTTCACAACTGCTCCAGTCTTCTCCCACAAACCACACAAGGAGAATCTGAGCACAGTGCACAAACCCTTACAACCAGATGTATTGACTATGGCATAACACAAGGGAAGCAAAGAAGCACTCACACCAGTGCTGATGATGGAATTCTTGTACGGGTGCCAGGACACGTCACGTACACATGAGCTGTGACCTTCCAGCTTACGCACCACCTTGCCTGTCAGGAGGTCATATACTGAAACAAGGAGAATTTATGGACAAGTGAATATAACACGACCGAAACATAACAAATAACATGACAGAAACAAAGCAAACAAGACAGAAACATAACAAACAACATGACAGAAACATAACAAATAACATGACAGAAACATAACAAACAACATGACAGAAACATAACAAACAACATGACAGAAACATAACAAACAACATGACAGAAACATAACAAACAACATGACAGAAAACATTAACAAAAAACATGACAGAAAACATTAACAAAAACAACATGACAGAAAATAGCAAATAAGACAGAAAAAAACAAACAAAACCATGACAGAAAAAACAACAAATAAAATAACAGAAATAACCCAACAACATGACAGAAACATAACAAACAAACATGACAGAAAACATAACAAACAACATGGACAGAAACAACAAAAAACATGACAGAACAAAACAGCATTAAATAAGACAGAAACATAACAAACAACATGACAGAAACATAACAAATAACATGACAGAAACATAACAAATAACATGACAGAAACAAAGCAAATAAGACAGAAACATAACAAACAACATGACAGAAACATAACAAATAACATGACAGAAACATAACAAACAACATGACAGAAACATAACAAACAACATGACAGAAACATAACAAACAACATGACAGAAACATAACAAACAACATGACAGAAACATAACAAACAACATGACAGAAACATAACAAATAACATGACAGAAACAAAGCAAATAAGACAGAAACATAACAAACAACATGACAGAAACATAACAAATAACATGACAGAAACATAACAAATAACATGACAGAAACATAACAAATAACATGACAGAAACATAACATGACAGAAACATAACTAATAACATGACAGAAACATAACAAACAACATGACAGAAACATAACAAATAACATGACAGAAACATAACAAATAACATGACAGAAACATAACAAATAACATGACAGAAACATAACATGACAGAAACATAACAAATAACATGACAGAAACATAACAAAAAACACTATAACTGACAAGTTCTAGGAATGACAAGAGATGTACAGTACCAAACTGTGCAGTCTCAATAAAATAAATAAATTCTGGATATCTTCAGACAGACACAGATAAAGCAACAGATACACAGAGATAGGTAGTCAGAAACACAGATAAAGCAACAGATACACAGAGATAGGTAATCAGAAACACAGATAAAGCAACAGATACACAGAGATAGGTAGTCAGAAACACAGATAAAGCAACAGATACACAGAGATAGGTAATCAGAAACACAGATAAAGCAACAGATACACAGAGATAGGTAGTCAGAAACACAGATAAAGCAACAGATACACACTCTTCACAGACAGGCAGTCTCAGACAAATAGTCAGACAGGCAGACACACATAACTACAGAGACAGGTAGTCAGCGACACAGCTGGAGCAACAGACACACAAACTACAGAGACAAACAAAGTCTGAGACAAACAGTCAGACACACAAAACTTTACAGAGACAGGCATTAAGAGACAGACATGCAATCAGACAGAGACACATAACTTCAGAGATAGGTAGTAAGAGACAGATAGTCAGGCAGACACACACACACACAAACTACAGAGACATGTAGTCAGAGACAGACAGTCAGACAGACATACTACAGAGACAGACAGTCAGAGACACAGGCATACACAACTACAGAGATAGAAGACAGAGACAGACAGACAGTTAAAAAAAAAAAAAAAACAGGCAGTCAGGGAGACTCATAAAACCAGAGATGAGAGTCAGAACACAGATAGGTAGACACACACGTAACTAAAGAAATGGCAGTCACAGACATAGACAGACACAGACACATAGAGACAAACATGTAGTTAAGCAGGATAACATACAGACAGAGAAATGGTTGGAAGCACAGACAGACAAAGAACTAACAAATATGAGGGCAGTTAATCAAACATAGCAAGGTAAGCCAGGCAGACAGGCTGACAGACAGAAATATAAACAAGATGAATGAATGGGAAAGATGGGCAAAGTCACAGACGAGAAACTGTAAACAGATCCTCAATCAACTAATGGTCGGGAAGTCCTGGCACTCACTGACAACGCTGCCTGTTGCACATCCAGTGTAGAGGTACCGCTGCCCTGTGGTGGCCTCCGGTGAAGAACTTACACCTGATCAAGGTGTGGAGCACACAGTGACCCCTGTAGGTCATCACTGATGAGTCCCCTTTTAGGACCTTTTTTTTGGCCGCTGTGGAGGAAACAGAAATTCGGTTGTATAGGAATCTATTAACAAACTGACCAGGAGGCCGGAGGTCAGATGTTTGTGGAAGGATTTGGCACATGATGATGATTGTGATGAATCAAGGACATGGAATAAATAGGATGCAAGCAACTTAGAAAGAGAAAGTCAGTCTTCTACCTTTTGCAGGACAGATCAAGCGGGAAGTCCTGACTGTCACAGGTGGGAAGCCCTGACTGTCACAGGTGGGAAGCATTAGGCCCTCATCAATAACAAACTGAGGTCAAATGAAGGGTGGTCAGTTCGCTTTGGGGGGAGGAGGGGGGGGGGGGGGGCTGCATTTCCTTTCTAGACAATTCCCAGGAATCTCTCAAAATGATTTTGTATTTATTTTTTCTCCTTCTGCATTCATCCAAAGATGTGAATGTGTTGTGCCCGTTTACAGCACGGCTGCCATATTTGCGCCTTTTGGCAGACATTTGTTACCGAGGTTTACCTTGCCGGGTAGTTTCATGGGTCACTGCAGTCTCATTGTTGTGTGAAATATTGATCTGATGGCCTGTACTAGGTCGAAGAAGAATCCTGTTGTTGCTTGAGATTGAAGCCAGACCACTCTTGTGGACACCGGTGTGTCACATGACTACACCACTTTGGCTTCCAGCAGGAACTGAGTTGAGTCCAGAACTGACATTACAACATTTTAGGTATTCCTATGTGTGCTCCGTCCTCATCTTCAGCAGCCAGTGCAGAGTTCCAATACTGATGGTTCCAGCAGGAAGAGTAAATGAACATCATCAACTGGCTATATGCATCTAGAGTCAGCACCGAGGCAGTGTATTCACAGAGGATGGAGAATACAAAAGAATAACAACATAAATTATCAAACAGCTCCAGTTCTGAAGAAACAAAATATCAACATGATCACAAAAAAGCAGCTGATAAATGAGCTATTTATACCAACTTTGTTGCTATCAATGTCAGACAGGAACAGTCCAAGAAAAACATAAATGAAAAATTATAACATGTAAGATGAGATGTATAAGCAATACAGCGGGGAAAACTAAGAGTCACCAACAATGACTAAGAACGATGGTAGACACAGTCTTGGTAAATGATTTCACAGAACATCACAGAATCAAATGGTTTGGTCATCTGATCAGAATGGAAGCAAATCAGCCAGCAGCTAAAGCGTACTATATGAGAACTGCAGGCTACAAGGCAAGAGGTCCATCAAGAAAGAGATGAGTGGCAGAGTAAAAGAGACTCTACAAATTCAATTTGACATTAATACAAGCTACAGAACTACAAGCAAAAAACATAAAAATTCTTCTCTGTAATGAGCAGAAGAAAAAAGAAAAAGATCTAGGGTAAAAGAACAAAACAAACAAACAAACTCTATTTCCAAGAGTCATAAATTGGGCACTCAGGCCCTTCTTACATTTGGCTGTTACAAACACTCATCTTTCACACAGAAACTGTACCATAAATATCAAGCATATGTTCATATATATCAAACCTAGTCGTACAAATCTATATATATAAAAATCAATGTTTGTGTGTTTATGATCTATAGACTCGGAAACTACTGAACCGATTTAGCTGAAAATTTCAGGATATGTTTGTTTGATATCGGATTTTTACCCGTCATGGTTTGAAATTATACCTGTCATTGTTGGAGACAGGTGACTACATTTGTTAGGAAAATCTTCAAAACTAATATTTCCATTTTAGTGACATTCAATGAAAGCCACGTTCGTAAATGCACATGCGCAGTCGGGACGCTCCATTTATCAACCATTCGCCGGCGTGATGCAACAAACCAAACTATCTCTATATCGCTGATTGCGACGTTAATCATATTAGACACGGTTTCTACTTTCTTTCTTTTCAAACAACCTTTGATAAGTTAGAGAGTAGCCAGTGGATTTGAGAAAATGGAGGGGGGGCAAACAAAGACTATGTCTGTGCAGACAATGATTGCGACATTTACCGTGTTAGACACGAACAATTTCTATTATTGTGCCGTTTCAATAATACTTGAAGTTTATATCTGGGATATCTGTTTATGAGAAAACCATTGCCTGCGGTTTTGTTATGTTAGAATCGGGACACACATCTTGCATAGTTTTGTTCTCTTTTCGTTGATTAGAAGAAGTGGTGGGCTGGCCGAATGCCTAGTACACTAGGCTCCCGTGCGGGAGCCAAGGGTTCGAATCCCCAGTACGTCTGTTTTTGGGACCGGAGGGGGGGGGGGGGGGGGGGGTGGGGGGGGGGGGGGGGGGGGCAAAAAAACCCAGACCTGCACTGTCGTGGCGACAGTACTAGCCATGTGGCCATAAATACTTTACAAAAAGTACAGGTGTGTGGGTAAACCAGTTCATAATAAAATTTGACCATTTCGCATACTTATGATTTCATTTCAAACTTTCCGATTGCATGGTTACGCTGAATTTTCATAGGTCTCCATTTATTTTCATTTCGATTTAATTATTTCTTCTGACATTGAGTTGGAAATAGGCTGTGTTGTTTATCATAGCGTTCATTTCGTAATTATGGTGTATTTTTCCTGTTTTCGTTGCATTTCACTTTTTTCTTCCAAACTACTTGGATGAAGGAAAGAGTAGTCGGTGAATTTGGGGGGGAGATAGGGAGGGGTAGCATAAACTGTTAACTGAGAGAGCTTTAAGTCACAGTAACTGCCTTACCAACTCAAAGTAGCAGCAGTAGTAGTTGTTGTGGTTGGGGGGTTACACCGTAGTGCTGTCACGCCGGAGACCGCCGATAAGGTGATGGCATTTTTTCTGTCAGGGAGCGAAATTACACATCCTAACCTGATCAGTCTGTGCCAACAGCACTAGCCTTGCGGCGTCAAATCCTCTGGCTCACGACTCCCTGTCTACTCCGAGGGTAAAACAGATAGCAGTGACATTATTTTAGTTATTGTGGTGGCGGTGGTGATAGTAGTTGTACTGGTACTTGAAGGATAGTGTGGTAAATATTACACTAGCCGCATCATTTACTACTCATTACAATTCCTGCTCCCTATTTTAGTCCGGATGGACAGGGGTATCAAGGTCAGTTACAAAACATATTGTCGGGTGATGATTTTCAAATCCTTCGATGACAGAGAGAGCAGTATTCGTGGATGGGGGAGTGGAGGGGGTGATGGCAGAAATTGTTAACTTAAAAAGCTTAACGCATGATTTTAAAGTGTTAATTTCTTAATTTGTTTATTTTTTACTAACGCTACCTCCGCTATTCTCATTTTTTTAATGACTTACTCTGTTTTTTTACAAACACAGCTTTAGCATGTGATAACCAAATAACCATTTTTCTAAAGACACAATTATATGTTGAGTGTTCTAAAATGGCAAACCAGACTATCTCTATATCTGTGCAGATAATGATTGCGACATTAACTATATAAGACACGTGCAATTTCTATTGTCTTTCTTTTCAATTTAGCCAAACTATGCCACAGCAACAGCTAGTGTAAAATAAAAATACAAAAAGCATAGTTGACAAATGCATAACAGGAAGCCAGCCAGACAGACATATAGATATTGAAATAGACAGACAAATGGATTGACTGGTGGACAGACAGACAGAAAAATTATTAAATATATTGATGGAGAGACATGGAGAAAGACAAACATTTACAAGCAGGCAGACAGATACATGACAGAGAAAAGGTGGAACTTCTTCTTTCTTTCTTTTGTCAAAATCTGCTTGTGCCGCTAGGCGTCGCAGTCTATCAGATGATCGGCAACCTAGCCAGGGCGCGCTCAGTCGCTTCATATGCCGTAATGTTATGAAGTCTCAAGTTGTCCGTGACTTCTTCAATCCATCTTCTTCTTGGTCTTCCCCTGCCTCTTGGTGTTTCGATTTTCATGTTGTATGCTCTTGATGCTGGCATCGTTGGTTCCATTCTCATTAGGTGACCAAACCATTTCATTCTTTGCTTCTCAATAAATTTAACGATGGGTATGGTTCCAATAGTTCTTGTAATCAAATCGTTTCTCACTCTATCTCTTCTGGTTTTATTCGCAGCCATTCTCAAACATCTCATTTCACAGGTGGTTAGTCTTCTCTCGTGTTCTTTTGTTAATGTCCAAGTCTGACATTGATAACCTAATGTTGGTATAAAGATTGTATTTATAATTTGTCTTTTTATCTCAGCTGAGACAGCAGGGTGTTTTAAAATTTGGGCAAGCTGGTATGCGACATTGTTGGCTTGTTGGATTCTTGCTTCGATCTCTCTGTCTATTTTACCATTGGATGTAGATACTTCCCAAGTATTTAAATTCTTGCACTTGTTTTAGGCTGTGATCTAGAATCTTTATGTCGATGGTCTGCTCTCTACTTATGCTCATGACTTCTGTCTTTTCAGTATTGATCTTCATATGATGCTTGAGGCAACTGTCGTGTAGTAGGTTTATGTGGTCTTGCAGCTGTTTACTATCACTGTGAAATATGCATTGATCGTCGGCAAAGAGCAGCTCATTGAAGTCCTCCTGTTTATCGACATCTGTTGGTGTTATGTCTATTTTATTAATATTGTCCATAAATATTATGAAAAGTAAAGGTGATAATACACAACCTTGTCTTACTCCTGATGTTACTGGGAGCCAGTCTGTGATGCCAGCTCTTGTTCTAATGGCGCTTTCACTTTGTCTATAAATAGCCCTAACACAATCTAAAATTGTTCCATTTATACCGTAGTTTTCAAGAACTTTTCATAATAAATTTCTGTTTACTCTATCGAAAGCTTTTTCTTGATCTATGAAAGCGATGTTCATTTGATGTCTGTGTTCGATTGTCTTTTCGCTAACTTGTCTTAAAGCAAAAATAGCGTCAGTACACCCTCTTCCTTTCCTAAATCCGACCTGTGATGGGCTCAGGATCGGTTCTACAACGGATCTAATTCGTTGTTCCAGAATTTTGGAAAACATTTTTCCTACGTGGCTTAGAAGGGAGATGCCTCTGTAATTGTTACAATCTTGCTTATTGCCTTTTCTTTTCCAAATTGGGACTATAAGGGCTCTTTGCCAGTCTATTGGTACAGTTCTTTCATTCCAGGCTTTCCTAAATATGTGGAGTAGCCAGGTGACTCCAATTTCTCCACAAGCCTGTATTGCCTCGGCTGATATTCCATCAACACCTGATGCCTTATTTTTGGGACTGCATCTGATTGCTTCTCTGACTTCTTGTTCGATTATTGTAGGCTGTTCCTCGTTTGTACATCTGGGTGTGAATGGTACTGTTTCCTCATTTCCTGTTACATTCAGAAGAGTCTGAAAATATTCTTTCCACCTTTCTCTGATCTTGCCCTCCTCATGTATGGGTTTGCCTTGACTATCATTGACATATTCAGATGGCTGGAATGTTTCATCTCTAGTTCTCATTTTTGCAATGGTTTTGTAAAACTGTCTACTAGATTTAGCACAAATTTTGGTAAGATTTTCCCCATACATGATCCAGGATGTTTCCTTGGATTGTTTAATTTCTCTTGCAGATTGTCGCCTGGCAATTCTGTACTTGATATAATCGTCATCTGAGCGGGATCTTAGCCATTTCTTGTATTGCTCCTTTTTACATTTCACTGCTTGTTTTACTTTATCATTCCACCATGCTGTTTTTTTCCTGAACGCTCCTCCTGTGTATCTAATACCACAGAGTGTTGTTAGGCAGTTCAGAAGAGTGTTCTTAAATTTTTGCCACGCAGCTTCCACATTGTCACTTGATGTTATTAGCTCAGCCATCTTCGCCGTCATTTCTGCCTGTACTTTTGCTTGGTTGTCTAGATTGCTTAGGTGTAAATAAAGGTGGAACAATGATGATAATTAAGTAGACAGTGAAGAAACAGAAAAAGAGGATGAAGAGAAGAAGAAGAACACAAATAGAAATAAGCAGTCTATAAAAAAAAGCTAGCTGACCTTTCCTGGGGACCTGCTGCCAGCGATAGTCCCACTGGTTAGTGGACACTGCCCGCTTGGTTTCCTGTGTCATAGAACACACTATCATCATCTCAGTCTACATGCTCCCAGAAAGAGGGGGCAGTGGGGGTATACACCCACAGCTAATAAACCAGTAGTTACAAGCACAGGTCTAACCACTGATGGAGGGCTGTCAAAGTCATCAGTTCTGCTATCTTCTTCTTTTTCTTCTTTGTGTTCCCTGGCTGTAAAACTCCAATGGAAAGTCCTGGTTGTTCATCCACTTGTGGATGTTAGTCGTGTCCCATGATGTGAGTTTTATATGCACATCTATTTTAAAGATCTGGTTTGTTTGTGTGCAAACTGTTGGTTTCTCATGTCTTAGGCAGATGCACTCTGATTTCAAAGGAAGCACTGATCCTAACTATGGTTGCAAGGTTTACCCCCCACCCCCTTTCTCTCTAGTTGGGAACCTACTTCTAGTATGACTACAGAAAGGTGTAGATCAGTATTTGCCTGTATGAACGCTGGTTCAGATTCAGGACCTCTGCCTCATAGTCATTAGTTCAAGACCATGTTTGAGACTGGTCAACACTTTAGGGTCCATTGTTGTTGTGAACCCTCCTGTTAGTAAGTTCAAGACCATGTTTGAGGGCCCCTTGTTGTTATGCAGCCTACCCACCCACAGATGTCTTCTTCTTCTGCCTGCTATCTACTAAAAGGACACATGTCCTTAACCCTCACAACCAATACTTTGTATCCCCATACAGGTTCCCACAGCCTCATTGTGGGAACACAATAAAAATATACCCACTGCTCCCTAACAACAAGTTAGTTGTGTATCCTTTACAAGACATTGTAGAAACAACCCCAACATTTTCTGGCTCTTCTGGTTTTTCTAGGCAAATTTATGTTCAGTAGTTTGTCATTGCTTCTGAATAGTCAGCTCTTGGTACCACTGTCAGAACCGATACAAGAAGGTCTGCTGACAAATAGCTTGCAGCTAGGATCTAACCTGGCACCCCAGAATTATGAAGCACATTCACAACGCCTGAGCCACAGATGCAGACACTCTTCCTAACAAGCATGGGGGTCGTTTCCTTCGAAGTCCTAGCACATCTGCCTGACAGCCAGAAACTGACAGTCTGCATGTAAATAAGCCAGATCAGTAAAAAGTGAGGTGCATGCAAAACTCATGTTCTGGAACAAGACTTAGGTCCAGAAAGGGGACAAACAACCAGAATTTCCTACTGGAGTTTACAGCTGGCAAACAATAAGCAGAAGAAAATACTTTGTAGATTTGTTTATGGTTAGTTGTATTGTCCTGAATGAAGAGGTGGCCAGTTTTTTTAAAATCTTCTGAGTTGTCTTTGCCTCCATTTGTATCTCAATTACTCCTAGGTGTATCTATCAGCTCTTTCATTGCCAACAACAACCACATTCCCTTAGTCACAGGGCTGCGTGGTCTCGAGGCATGGTGTCCGCCTCGAGTGCTAGAGGTTCCAGGTTCAATCCCCGGTAAGGGCACAGGATTGGCACTAATAATCATGTTACGCTGATGCCTTTGCTGCAGGAGGAATCCAAACATCTATGGACGTGTCTGGAGAGCCGTCCAGATAACCCAATTCATAACTCATCTACAGTCTGGGCTCCCGGTCTGGCTACAGTTCTAAAGAATACACATTCCACTGTTACCCTGGTGGAGAGGGGAAGAGAAGCTCTGCAACCCAATCCCCATGGAGAAGTACCTTAGTACTGGCTGACATTAACGTAACTTCTACAGATGACAGCTAGGACACAGTGTCAAGATTACCTGGCAGACAACACATTCTGATGGCATATCACCATCGGTTGCCATGGAAATGGACACCATATTTGATTTCATGTGAGCTTTTTCTTCTTAGCTTTTAAATAACAAAGTAAATATTAAAATATTATCTTCTTCTTCATTTCCCCTTAAAAGGGGCAGTTAGCATGTTGTGGTATACAGCTAGGCTGTGATACCTGTGCCTTTTGGCCTAACAAATTCAATTTCAGAAGATCCTTAATTAGTTGTCTTTCACTTGTACAGGGGCAGTAGATCTGTTCTATGTCACCCAAAAAATGTGGCTGTGGAACCCAAACCACCAGGTCAATTTTACATGATATTACTTAAAAATCTGGCCACTGATAAGAGGGTGCTTGAACAAACAGTCTCTATTGTTCTACCCGGGAAGAGCTCCACTAGCACACACTAGAGATGGTTCAGAATACATGATGAAAAGAAATGTCTTCTCTTCTTCTTTGCGCTCACTGGCTACAAACTCTGGCAGAAAGTTCTGGTTGGTCCACTTCAAGCAGTTTCAGAACTTGAGTTTTATATGCTATGTATTTTACAGATATGGCTTATTTGTGTGCAGACTGTTAGTTCCCTGCTTCTCAGGCAGATGTACTACAACTTTCAAGTGAGAAAAGAAATAAAATTAATATTTTAATAATTAAAACAGATTAAAAACTCAAGAGACAGGTCAGAACACAGCTACAACAACCAGCTCACTTCTATTCCCTCGGGGTCGGAGAACTGTCGTATATCCCAGAGTTTCATGGTCTGATCTTTGCAGTTGGATATCAGGTAGCGAGCATCACCCTGTCGGAGGCAGAAGGGGAAATAAGCAGCCACAAACAAGCAAGTGAGCAGACACTTTCCTGTACCTTGAATGAGAACTGTGCTTGCAATATATTTGTAAAGACTCCTTGCCAGCTGATGAGCTATGTGATCTTCTTCTACAACTTCGCATTCACCGTTTATAAACTTTAGCATTTTAACAATGTTATGTACAAGGTCCGACAATTAATTAATGAGACTAATTCCATGAAAATTAAAATAATCAACAGTTGAAGATATAACCTGTATTTTATTCAAAGTAAGTCCCTTGTGCATTGATACAGCAAGTGGCACGATCTAATAAACACTGGAACGACCTCTGTTGTTGTTCTGTTAAGAAACCTTAAAGTCATGGTCTTAAAGTCTTTGGATGTCATCAAAATCGTTAAAAAAAAGCGTCCTTTCAATTGAAACTTTAATTTTGGGAATAGAAAATAATCACAGGGAGAGAAATCTAGAAAATAGGGTGGAAGGCTGAGAACACACACTTGTTTTGGGGCAAAAAAAATTATTGTTTTGATGATGTCTTTTGGGTACTCAACCCGCTGATGTTTTTGGTCATCAAACAACGAATGTGGTACAAACCGGCAAGCAACTTTTTTCTAAAATGTTATGAATGGTCTCTCTATTACCACCAGATTCATCTGCCATCATCTTAATAGTAAAACAATGATCTTTTTTGTATCCCTTCTCTGACTTTTGCAATGAGTTCATCATTACAAACAGAAATTTTGCGTCCAGGTCTAGGTGCATAATTTCTACACCACTTTTGAATCGTGAATACCAGCTGAAAATTTGTGCATGAGATAAACAATTATCCCCATAAACTTGTTGAATCAATTAAATTGTTTCCACGGCACGTTTTCTGAGTTTAAAAAAAAATAATTAATGTGAGCTTTTTGCTCCGTGCTGATAATGTAGCAATGCATCGCAGACTAGGTCAATAAAATGGCGGCTTGTTTGTTGTCTGCTTATCGAGCTGTGATGAAAAGATGCCAGATCATAGATGAATATTGTCTCTTTAGATTCCATGCTTCGCTTTATATATGGAATTTTCGTCTTGGCCATAAAAAAATCAGTCTTATTACTTAATTGTCGGACCTCGTATGTCTCCTCCAGATTTGTATTTGCAAATCAGGGAAACCTCGTTTAACCATATGGTCATACAGCACGGTTATACTGAGTCATGATGAATGGTTATGAATCAACCGCTAAATATGCTCTAGCAGAAAGTCTTTGTTTGGTTATTCATCTGTTTCTGGAATTCAGTCCTGAGTTCCAGGACTGAAGTGTTGCACAAACATCATTTTTACAGATCTGGCATTTTTTGGGGTGTTTTTTTTTTTAGACAAATGCACTCTGACTTCAAAGAAAACACTGATCCTAGCTCATTTTGTCAACTTCAAAGGAAACACTGATCCTATCTACTTTTGTCAGGACCTCAAAAAAAAACACTTAACCTATCTAATTTTTTCAGGACTGCAAAGGAAACGCTGATGCTATCTAATTTTGTCAGGACTTCAAAGGGAACACTGATCCTATCTATTTTTGTCAGGACCTCAAAGGAAACACTGATCCTATCTAATTTTGTCAGGACTTAAAGGAAACACTGATCCTATCTAATTTTGTCAGGACCTCAAAGGAAACACTAATCCTATCTAATTTTATCAGGACTTTAAAGGAAACACTGATCCTGTCTAATTTTGTCAGGACCTCAAAGGAAACACTGATCCTATCTTATTTTGCAGGACCTCAAAGGAAACACTGATCCTATCTAATTTTGTCAGGACTTCAAAGGAAACACTGATCCTATCTAATTTTGTCAGGACCTCAAAGGACACACTAATCCTATCTAATTTTATCAGGACTTTAAAGGAAACACTGATCCTATCTAATTTTGTCAGGACCTCAAAGGAAACACTGATCCTATCTTATTTTGTCAGGACCTCAAAGGAAACACTGATCCTATCTAATGTGGCCAGGACTTGCCAGGACGTTCAGGTGCTGGAACAAGACTAAAGCAAAGGTGGACGAACAACCAGGACTTTCAACCGGAGTTTACAGAAAAGCAATGCGAAGACAAAGAAGTAGACTAAAAAGAAGTAACCTGTCAGTGTATTGTGATTACTTACCTTAGAATCAATGTAAGTGATTCCATCACTGTGGCCCGCCAATGTTCCTACTGGAAGTGGCCTCTCTTCTCGCAGAGTTCTTCGATCCCACACCTACAAGAGATCATCAGTAACAGAGGCTCACCCACAATATACAGAGAACATCAGTAACAAAGGCTCACCCACACCTACAATATATAGAGAACATCTGCAACAGAGGCTCACCCACACCTACAAGAGAACATCAGTAACAGAGGCACACCCACAATATACAGAGAACATCTGCAACAGAGGCTCACCCACACCTACAAGAGAACATCAGTAACAGAAGCTTACCCACAATATACAGAGAACATCTGTAACAGAGGCTCACCCACACCTACAATATATAGAGAACATCAGTAACAGAGGCTCACCCACAATATATAGAGAACATCAGTAACAGAGGCTCACCCACACATACAATATATAGAGAACATCAGTAACAGAGGCTCACCCACACATACAATATACAGAGAACATCTGCAACAGAGGCTCACCCACACATACAATATATAGAGAACATCTGTAACAGAGGCTCACCCAAGCATTCAATATACAGAGAACATCTGTAACAGAGGCTCACCCACACCTACAATATACAGAGAACATCTGCAACAGAGGCTCACCCACACATACAATATATAGAGAACATCTGTAACAGAGGCTCACCCACACATACGATATACAGAGAACATCTGTAACAGAGGCTCACCCACACCTACAATATACAGAGAACATACAAGAGAACATATAACAGAGGCTGTAGAACAGAGAGGCTCATCCAGAGGCTCACCTACAATATACAGAGAACATCTGTAACAGAGGCTCACCCACACCTACAATATACAGAGAACATCTGTAACAGAGGCTCACCCACACCTACAATATACAGAGAACATCTGTAACAGAGGCTCACCACACCTACAATATAAGAGAACATCTGTAACAGAGGCTCACCCACACATACACCTAGAAATATAGGCTCACCCACACCTACAATATACAGAGAAGAGTAACAGAGGCTCACCCACACATACAGAGAACATCTGTAAAGAGCTCACCCACAAGATCAGTAACAGAGAAGGCTCACAGAGGCACACCTACCTACAATATACAGAGGAACATCTGAGAACATCAACAGAGGCTCACCCACACCTACAATATAACAGAGACCACACCTACATCAAGAGAACACAGTAACAGAGGGCTCACCCACACCTACAACATCTGTAACAGAAACATCAGTAACAGAGGCTCACCCACACCTACAATATACAGAGAACATCTGTAACAGAGGCTCACCCACACCTACAATATACAGAGAACATCTGCAACAGAGGCTCACCCACACCTACAATATATAGAGAACATCTGTAACAGAGGCTCACCCACACATACAATATACAGAGAACATCTGTAACAGAGGCTCACCCACAACATCTCTGTAACAGAGGCTCACACCTACAATTACAGAGAACATCTGTAACTGAACCCTGTCTTACAATTGCAGAACATCCATAAATGATTACATCTGTGATCACCCACACCTACAAACTGAACATGCTGTCTTACAGAGGCTCTTGCATAATCAATCAATGATTACACGATGCACTGAAATGCTACCTTACCTTGCATAATCCATCAATGATTACACGATGCACTGAAATGTTACCTTACCTTGCATAATCCATCAATGATTACACGATGCACTGAAATGCTGTCTTACCTTGCATAATCCATCATCTCCACCACTGAACAAAATATGAGAGCTGTTGTCAGCAAATTTCACTGTGTTCACATCGTAATCATGAGCATCAATCTGCAAACCAAACATAATTTCAAAATACTCTTGCATTTGACAGTATTCACATTACAATAAAGAGCATCAATATATAAACATACATTTACTACAAAAAGCTAGGAGTGAGACAAGGATGTGTTTTGTTGCCTCTCTATAGTAAAATAATAATGAGGGAGGGCAAGGACAGACCAGGAATACTAGTTAGAGGTTATAATATAAACAATCTTCGTTATTCAGATGAGACAGAAGACCTACAACAACTATTAGACATTGTTCTACTAGAGATTACAAAAAAGGGACTCTCCTTGAATGTCAAGAAAATAGAAACAGAAGAAGAAGAAAACTCCACAATGTGACACAGAAATAGAAGGGAAAGTGCTTAACCAAGTCAATAAATTCAAACATTTGGGGACATTCATAACAGCAGATGGACGATGTGGGACATTCATAACAGCAGATGGACGATGTGGGACATTCATAACAGCAGAAACACTTGTTAAAAGTCAAAGAGGACACCACACAAATAAGGCAACATCTCGACCCACACAAAACAATGGCCACAGTCAACCTAGAAATAGGCTTGACGTCTTCCTCCGAAGTCGGAGTACATCTGCCGGAGAGGCGGGGAACGAGTACTGCAAACAAATAAGCCAGTAAAACGGATGTACACGCAAAACTCAGGTCAAGGTAAAAGCCAAAAGTCCATTTTGGACGAACAACCGTGACTTACCGCCGGATTCACAGCCGGTGAACAAGAAGAAGAAAAGAAGAAGATAACAGCAGATGGACGATGTGTGACAGAAATTAAGAGCAGAACTGGTCAGGCAAAGGCAGCTTTTCAGAAGATGAAAAGTATTTGATGTAATAAACCACTCTCATTAAACATCAGAAAGCAAGTAATAAAATGTCATATGGAGTCTGTTCTGTTGTATGGCAGTGAATCTTGGAATGTGAGCAAACAAATTTAGAAGAGTTTGGAGGCAGCTGAGATGTGGGTCTTGAAAAGAATGTTGAGAATACCTTGGACTGCTAGAATAACCAACACTGAATGCCTGGAAATGGCTAATGAAAGTAGAATATTACATACAACAATGAGAAGGCGACAAAGTTCTTTGGTCATGTAATGAGAAAAGGAGCACTGGAAAATACTGTGATGAATGGGAAGATCACTGGTAGAAGAGCCAGAGGCAGACCAAAAGAAATAATGGTGCATGGCTTTAGACAGTGGCATCGATGAATATTATCAGTGGAATTGATCCAGAACACCAAAGAGCAACATCTGTGGAGATGCATGAATGCCTACGCCAGTTGCCAAGGCACTTGATGATAATAGTGACATACTACAATCTAAAATCTGACCATATTTATCACAATCGTGGGCATTGATCTGCAAGCATAAACATAATACACTGTAGCATCTGACTATATTCATATTGTAATAATCAGTATCGATCTACAAATCTAAATATACAAAACTAGAAAAACTGACAATGTAAGAGTAGTGGATGGCAGCAATGGCAGAATTTCAATCTCTCACATTTAAGACAAGGGTTCCAAACCCAAGTAAGGTTTGCATTGTTTCTAAAGGATAGAAAACCTCCTGGGAAGAAAACTTACTTTTAAAGTTCTTTTGTTCAGCTCTCGGTCATACACATACAAGTGTCCATCGTTAGCACTGAAAATAGAGAAAATATTGGTGTTCAACCAGAGAGGACAGGGAAAAAAGAGACAGATATTTGTGGAAAGCTTAACAGCTGCAAGTAAATAATTTAAAGCAACAAAAATATCATTAAAAATATGAGACAATGGAGATGTTTAGACAGTATCTACTCCAGACCTGGCAGCTGAGGATGTACAATCTTGTTACATACAGTGCTACCTCACAGTACATCTAGTTGAGCATAAATCTACCTCACAGTACATCTAGTTGGGCATAAATCTACCTCACAGTACATCTAGTTGGGCATAAAGATACCTCACAGTACATCTAGTTGAGCATAAATCTACCTCACAGTACATCTAGTTGAGCATAAATCTACCTCACAGTACATCTAGTTGAGCATAAAGATACCTCACAGTACATCTAGCTGAGTATAAAGATACCTCACAGTACATCTAGTTGAGTATAAAGATACCTCACAGTACATCTAGTTGAGTATAAAGATACCTCACAGTACATCTAGTTGAGCATAAATCTACCTCACAGTACATCTAGTTGGGCATAAAGATACCTCACAGTACATCTAGTTGGGCATAAAGATACCTCACAGTACATCTAGTTGGGCATAAAGATACCTCACAGTACATCTAGTTGAGCATAAATCTACCTCACAGTACATCTAGTTGAGCATAAAGATACCTCACAGTACATCTAGCTGAGTATAAAGATACCTCACAGTACATCTAGTTGGGCATAAAGATACCTCACAGTACATCTAGCTGAGTATAAAGATACCTCACAGTACATCTAGTTGAGCATAAATCTACCTCACAGTACATCTAGTCGGGCATAAAGATACCTCACAGTACATCTAGTTGAGCATAAATCTACCTCACAGTACATCTAGTCGAGCATAAATCTACCTCACAGTACATCTTATTGAGCATAAAGATACCTCACAGTACATCTAGCTGAGTATAAAGATAACTCACAGTACATCTAGTTGAGCATAAATCTACCTCACAGTACATCTAGTTGGGCATAAAGATACCTCACAGTACATCTAGTTGAGCATAAATCTACCTCACAGTACATCTAGTCGAGCATAAATCTACCTCACAGTACATCTTGTTGAGCATAAAGATACCTCACAGTACATCTAGCTGAGTATAAAGATACCTCACAGTACATCTAGTTGAGCATAAATCTACCTCACAGTACATCTAGTTGGGCATAAAGATACCTCACAGTACATCTAGTTGAGCATAAATCTACCTCACAGTACATCTAGTCGAGCATAAATCTACCTCACAGTACATCTCATGGTTTGAGCATAAAGATACCTTCACAGTACATCTAGCTGAGTATAAAGATACCTCACAGTACAATCATGTTTAAGCAGTATCATCTACCTCACAGTACATATAGTTGGGCATAAAGATACTCAGACACAGTACATCTAGTGTCTGAAGCATAAAGTACCTCACAGTACAATCTAGTTGGGCATAAATCTACCTCATCGGATAGTACATGTAGTCTGAGCATAATCACTCTACCTCACAGTGTGTCTCATAGAAAGTATCACCCTACAATCATGGGGCATAAAGATATCACTCGCAATGTCTCTTTATTCATTTCAGACAATCCATGGTATATATCACTTCAGCAACAATCATGGTATACGTGTGTCTCAGGAATATAGCAAGTATCACTCAGACAATCACTCAGACAATCATGGTATGTGGTCTCAGGAATATAGCAAGTATCACTCAGACAATCATGGTATACGTGTGTCTCAGGAATATAGCAAGTATCACTCAGACAATCATGGTATACATGTGTCTCAGGAATATAGCAAGTATCACTCAGACAATCATGGTATACATGTGTCTCAGGAATATAGCAAGTATCACTCAGACAATCATGGTATACGTGTGTCTCAGGAATATAGCAAGTATCACTCAGACAATCATGGTATACGTGTGTCTCAGGAATATAGCAAGTATCACTCAGACAATCATGGTATACATGTGTGTAGCTCAGGAATATAGCAAGCAAGTATCACTCAGATAATCATGGTATACGTGTGTCTCAGGAATATAGCAAGTATCACTCAGACAATCATGGTATACGTGTGTCTCAGGAATATAGCAGTATCACTCAGACAATCATGGTATATGTGTGTCTCAGGAATATAGCAAGTATCACTCAGACAATCATGGTATACATGTGTCTCTGGAATATAGCAAGTATCACTCAGACAATCATGTATATACGTGTCTCAGGAATATAGCAAGTATCACTCAGACAATCATGGTATACGTGTGTCTCAGGAATATAGCAAGTATCACTCAGACAATCATGGTATACGTGTGTCTCAGGAATATAGCAAGTATCACTCAGACAATCATGGTATACGTGTGTCTCAGGAATATAGCAAGTATCACTCAGACAATCATGGTATACGTGTGTCTCAGGAATATAGCAAGTATCACTCAGACAATCATGGTATACGTGTGTGTCTCAGGAATATAGCAAGTATCACTCAGACAATCATGGTATACGTGTGTGTCTCAGGAATATAGCAAGTATCACTCAGACAATCATGGTATCATGGTCTCAGGAATATAGCAAGTATCACTATATGTGTCTCAAGTATAGCAAGTATCACTCAGACAATCATGGTATACGTGTGTCTCAGGAATATAGCAAGTATCACTCAGACAATCATGGTATACGTGTGTGTCTCAGGAATATAGCAAGTATCACTCAGACAATCATGGTATACGTGTGTCTCAGGAATATAGCAAGTATCCACTCTTATTCTCAGGAAATAGCACAAACTCAGACACTATCTATACGTGTGTCTCAGGAATATAGCTGTTTAGAAGTGTTTTGTGAGCATTGTTAGTGTCATGTTTTTCAACATGGAAGGCAGAACGAGTGATTGAGACAATGTAAGCAAGGTGCTTTTGATCATTATCTCTGTTAATGTGTTGAAATACACAGGTAAATTGGACTGCTCACATTTGTTCAGTGTAGTGTTGTGTAAGGGTAAGAGGTGAGTGTTGTGTACGGGTGAGTGTTGAGTATTGTGTATAGGTGAGAGTTGAGTGTTGTGTATAGGTGAGAGGTAAGTGTTGTGTATAGGTGAGAGGTGAGTGTTGTGTATAGGTGAGAGGTGAGTGTTGTGTATAGGTGAGAGGTGAGTGTTGTGTATAGGTGAGAGGTGAGTGTTGTGTATAGGTGAGAGGTAAGTGTTGTGTATAGGTGAGAGGTAAGTGTTGTGTACAGGTGAGAGGTAAGTGTTGTGTATAGGTAAGAGGTAAGTGTTGTGTATTGGTGAGAGGTGAGTGATGTGTATAGGTAAGAGGTAAGTGTTGTGTATAGGTAAGAGGTAAGTGTTGTGTATAGGTGAGAGGTGAGTGTTGTGTATAGGTGTGAGTTGAGTGTTGTGTATAGGTAAGAGGTAAGTGTTTTGTATAGGTGAGTGTTGTGTACAGGTGTGAGTTGAGTGTTGTGTGTAGGTGAGAGGTGAGTGTCTAGTGTGAATACTCAATCGGGGAAAACCTGCGTACAAGCAGCACCTCTTGTATTCTGGGGGTGGACAGCATCTTATAACTACTACTAGGTTAATGTGCAAGCCATTGGGGCCGAGTGACGGGTTATATAAGTCAGCAGTGACCTCTTGGTGTATATTCACATGACAATCACCGACATTAGAGGTTTGGAAAGCTCTACCTCAGTTATCTCTTAGCTTGTCATCTGATTGACCATGTTTCTCCTACACTCCACAGTACAGGCTGCATGGAGCACTGCAACACATCTTCTCACTGACCATGTTTCTCCTTCATTTCAAAGAACAGGCTGTATGTAGCACTACAACACATCTTCCCACTGACCATGTTTCTCCTAAATTCCACAGTACAGGCTGTAAGTAGCGCTGCAACACATCTTCTCACTGACCATGTTTCTCCTACATTCCACTGCACAGGCTGTATGTAGCGCTGCAACACATCTTCTCACTGACCATGTTTCTCCTACATTCCACTGCACAGGCTGTATGTAGCACTGCAACACATCTTCTCACTGACTATGTTTCTCCTACATTCCACTGCACAGGCTGTATGTAGCGCTGCAACACATCCTCTCACTGACCATGTTTCTCCTACATTCCACTGCACAGGCTGTATGTAGCACTGCAACACATCTTCTCACTGACTATGTTTCTCCTACATTCCACAGTATAGGCTGTATGGAGCACTGCAACACATCTTCTCACTGACCATGTTTCTCCTACATTCCACTGCACAGGCTGTATGTAGCACTGCAACACATCTTCTCACTGACTATGTTTCTCCTACATTCCACAGTATAGGCTGTATGGAGCACTGCAACACATCTTCTCACTGACCATGTTTCTCCTTCATTTCAAAGAACAGGCTGTATGTAGCACTACAACACATCTTCCCACTGACCATGTTTCTCCTAAATTCCACAGTACAGGCTGTAAGTAGCGCTGCAACACATCTTCTCACTGACCATGTTTCTCCTACATTCCACAGTACAGGCTGTAAGTAGCGCTGCAACACATCTTCTCACTGACCATGTTTCTCCTTCATTCCACAGTACAGGCTGTATGTGGCACTGCAACACATCTTCTCACTGACCATGTTTCTCCTACATTCCACAGTACAGGCTGTATGCAGCACTGCAACACATCTTCTCACTGACCATGTTTCTCCTGTATGTAAGCTGTATGTAGCGCTGCAACATATTGTCTCACTGACACAGCTCTGATAGTGGGCACACCTTGGCAACTGTTGCCCTGGTGATTCTGGTTCTACTCCCAAGACAAGGAGAAGAGAAAGATGCATGAAAGAGGAGAGGTATGAGACAAAGCAACAGAAACAAATCAGAAAGGAAAACAATTTCACAACGGCTTACCACAATCGGACCAACTGGAGTAAGCTGCATACTGGCCATCAGGGCTGGGAGTGACAAAAATATATCTTAGTCTTATACATATGTGTGTGTGTTTGGGTATATGTGTATGTATGAGTGTTACCATATTTTGGTCATATCAAGCGCCACGACAGATTGAAAAAAATTACAGCAGAAGGCATGGTACCAGGAAGGAGGGGCAGGGGCCGACCGACACGAAGATGGGCACAGGATAAAAGTGACTCCTTAAGTATGAAAGTGCATGAGGTGGGAGAACTGGCGAGAGACCGAGTTTCTTACAGGCAGACTGTGATGAGAGTGACGTTCTGCAAAAGATCTGCTACATGATGATGATGAGTGTTACCATTCTGCTGCTTTAGCATCAAAAGCGCCTTGAGGTTCACTGCTGAGATTTCATGTTCATTCCTCTCTGGATTGGCCCTCTCCTTCCAGCTCATGACTTCAAGTGTTTGTGGGTCTGCATAAAAAATATTTCCCGACCTTTTTTTTTTAAATCTGACTCATTTGAGACTTGAGTGCATGCATTTTCTGTCTCCATCTGCCACTGTCTCTGTCTACCACTATCTCTATCTGCCACTGTCTCCCACTATCTCTATCTGCCACTGTCTCTGTCACAGTTTCTATCTGCCACTGTCTCTATCTACAACTGTCTCCATTTACCACTATCTCTTTCTGTCACTGTCTCCAGCTCATGACTTCAAGTGTTTGTAGGTCTGCATAAAAAATATTTCCCCCCCTTTTTTTTTTAAATCTGACTCATGATCTATTCCCATTTGAGACTTGTGTGCATGCATTTTCTGTCTCCATCTGCCACTGTCTCTGTCTACCACTGTCTCTGTCTACTACTGTCTCTGTCTACAACTGTCTCTATCTGCCACTATCTCTATCTGCCACTGTCTCCATTTGCCACTGTCTCTATCTGCCACTGTCTCCATCTGCCACTGTCTCTATCTGCCACTGTCTCTATCCGCCACTATCTCCATCTGCCACTGTCTCTATCTGCCACTGTCTCCATCTGCCACTGTCTCTATCTGCCACTGTCTCTATCCGCCACTATCTCCATCCGCCACTGTCTCTATCTGCCACTGTCTCCATCTGCCACTGTCTCCATCTGCCACTGTCTCTATCTGCATCTGCCACTATCTCCATCTGCCACTGTCTCTATCTGCCACTGTCTCCATCTGCCACTGTCTCCATCTGCAACTGTCTCTATCTGCCACTGTCTCTATCTGCCACTATCTCTATCTGCCACTGTCTCTATCTGCCACTGTCTCTATCTGCCACTATCTCTATCTGCCACTGTCTCTATCTGCCACTATCTCTATCTGCCACTGTCTCTATCTGCCACTATCTCTATCTGCCACTATCTCTATCTGCCACTGTCTCTATCTGCCACTGTCTCTGCGACTATCTCTATCTGCAACTGTCTCTATCTGCCACTATCTCTATCTGCCACTATCTCTATCAGCCATTATCTCTGCCACTGTCTCTGCCACTGTTTCTATCTGCCACTGTTTCTATTTACCACTGTCTCTATCTGCCACTGTCTCCATCTGCCACTATCTCTTTCTGCCACTGTCTCTATCTGCCACTGTCTCTGCCACTGTTTCTATTTACCACTGTCTCCATCTGCCACTATCTCTTTCTGCCACTGTCTCTATCTGCCACTGTCTCCAGCTCATGACTTCAAGTGTTTGTAGGTCTGCATAAAAAATATTTCCCTGTCTTTTTTTTTTTTAAATCTGACTCATGATCTATTCCCATTTGAGACTTGTGTGTATGCATTTTCTGTCTCCATCTGCCACTGTCTCCCTTTACCACTGTCTCTATCTGCCACTGTCTCTATCCACCACTGTCTCTATCTGCCACTGTCTCCCTTTACCACTGTCTCTATCTGCCACTATCTCTATCTGCCACTATCTCTATCTGCCACTATCTCTATCACTGTCTCTGCCACTGTCTCTATCTGTCACTGTCTCTATCTGCCACTGTCTCTATCTGCCACTGTTTCTATCTGACACTGTATCTATCTGCCACTATCTCTATCTGCCACTATCTCTATCTGCCACTATCTCTATCTGCCACTCTCTATCACTGTCTCTGCCACTGTCTCTATCTGTCACTGTCTCTATCTGCCACTGTCTCCATCTGCCACTGTCTCTATCTGCCACTGTCTCCATCTGCCACTATCTCTGCCACTGTCTCTGCCACTGTTTCTATCTGTCACTGTTTCTATCTACTACTGTCTCCATCTGCCACTATCTCTTTCTGCCACTGTCTCCATCTGCCACTGTCTCCATCTGCCACTGTCTCCATCTGCCACTGTCTCTATCTGCCACTGTCTCTATCTACCACTGTCTCTGTCCACCACTATCTCTATCCACCACTATCTCTATCCACCACTGTCTCTATCTGCTACTGTCTCTATCCACCACTGTCTCTATCTGCTACTGTCTCTATCCACCACTGTCTCTATCTGCTACTGTCTCTATCCACCACTGTCTCTATCTACCACTGTCTCTATCCACCACTGTCTCTGTCTACCACTGTCTCTATCCACCACTGTCTCTATCTGCTACTGTCTCTATCCGCCACTGTCTCTATCTGCTACTGTCTCTATCCACCACTGTCTCTATCTACCACTGTCTCAATCAACAACTATCTCTATCCACCACTGTCTCTATCCACCACTATCTCTATCCACCACTGTCTCTATCCACCACAGTCTCTATCCACTACTGTCTCTATCTGCTACTGTCTCTATCTGCTACTGTCTCTATCTGCTACTGTCTCTATCTGCTACTGTCTCTATCTGCTACTGTCTCTATCTGCTACTGTCTCTATCTGCTACTGTCTCTATCTGCTACTGTCTCTATCTGCCCAAACCTTCAAGGGAGGTGAGTGTGCACTTGTGTTACAGAGTGTACAGCAGGGCTATTCAACTGACAGCCCGCGGGTCAAATCTGGCCTGCAGAGGCTTAGTAAATGGCTCGCTGATTACCTACAAATAGTACCGTGTTCATAATCTTTCTATGTTTGGGCTCGGGCCCCTGACTATCCATATTTTACCCCAACATTTTGGCCCTTAAGTAAGCTGAATGAACCTGGTGTATGCTATCAGTATATCTGTGATGACTATATGAATGGCTGTTTGTGTGATGTCTCTGTGTGTGTGTGTGTGTGTGTGATGTGTCTCTCTCTGTGTCTGTGTGTGTGCGTGCGTGCGTGCGTGTGTGTGGGTGGGTGGGGGAGGGGGGTCATATAAGAGTGTAGAACACTGATTTTTAATCGACATCACAGCACACCGAGCATACCCATAGGTGCTCTGTCTCTCATAGGAAATGTCTCAAAGTGTAGATATTAACTGTTTCCGTAAGTGAAGAATGACTTCAAAGGAAGCCCTAATTTGTTGACTTCTACAACATGCTTGATGGGGAGGCAGTTGGTCTATTCTTGTTTTCCCCACAATGAGGCCCCAGAACCCACACGGGGAGAAGCTGGAATCAAATAAAGATAAGTAGCCGTAGTCGGACAGGTCACCCCATCACTGCTCTTTCCTGCGCCAGCGAAAGCCACATGAAATATCCCTCAATTCTTCTTCTTCTGCCTTCTATCCCCCAATGGAGAATAGGTCCTCAACCAAATCATGCTAAGACGTTCTAACCTTCGCTATGCATGCAGCGTTCCCAATCTTTGTAACTTCACTCTCTCTAGCTCCCTTCTGTGTTTTTTTTTTTTGGGGGGGGGGGGGGGGGGGGGAGGGGGTGGGGGGGTCTTTTTTTACTTCTATGCCCCTGTGGGTTCCAGTGCAAAGGCATTCTAGTTATACTGTTCTCTCAACATCCAAAGCCAGAGTCTTTTCTTCACCTCCTGGTCCACTAAAACATGTTTAGTTCTCTCCAAAAGCTTAACATTAGTGATTCTATCATAAGATTTAATTCCCCCTATTCTGCACAGGCACCAGTCAAAGAGTCCTGGTGAAATCCAGAAAACATGCAGACATAGTAAATGCAGAAGGCAGCCGCCAGAGGTGCCAACACCAACAGTCACCAGCCTGACTAAAGTTATCATGGAAGGAGAC